CGTGCCCCAGGAGAGGCCCAACCTTCAGGAACATATGTAACACACTTCGGATTGGAGTCACAGGAGAGGGGCAATCTGTAGGCACACACGTCAAACACCAAAGTCTCGTGCCCCAGGGGAGGCCCAATATCACGGAACATACGTGAAACATTAGGAGTGGATATGAGTGAGACGGGCATTATATAACAACATACGTAAAACACACCGGATTCGTATTACAGGGGAGGCCCAATCGATAGGAACATGCGTAATACACCGGGGGGGAGTGGAGCCAGTCCTGTGGCCTTCTGAGGCCTCCTGCTCCTGGAGCCTCGTGGGGGCTCCTGGGGCCTCCGGGGCCTCCTGGTGCCTTCTGTCGCTTTCGGTGGCCGCCAGGTTCAGCGGAAGAGCTCCCCCGCCGAACTAGAGCAGACCACCCCCGATCCACGGGCGCCGCGGGCGCCGTCGTCGACGGGCGAGGAAAGCTTCGCTACCGACGTGGGCGACTCTGTTGAACTGTTGGAAGACGGTGTCGACGCTGCTGGCGACGCTCTACGAGCGGGACCTCGGCGGGCCCTCTGGCGTTCGCGGCGGCAACGGAGGGCCGCCCGGGGGAAGGCGAGAGGAGGGCGCGGCAGGAGGCTCGCCGCGTGAAGGCGGCATAGAAGATGGAGCAGGATCAGTTCGATTGAAGGCGCGCGGCGCAGCCAGGCTGTGAGCAGCTCGCCATGACGGGCGCTGACTGCCTGGCCAGGTGCGCCAATTGCGGAGATCGAGGACGCTGGGCGGAGACGCGCGAGAACCCGCGCAGATTCAAGGCGGATCGTCTGGCGAGCGAGAGTGGCTATGACAAGGGCATCCAGGAAGACGGCGCCGGGAGTTTCTTCCTGGACGTGATCGAGGACTCCGACGACTTCGCGGGCGTCGTGGGCGACGGCGATTTGAGCGCGATGATAGAGGCATTCCAGATTCGCGGCTTTCGGATACTCGTCAAGCGCGGACCAGTTGAGGGGGCGACGGCCGGAGGGGTCGAAGGGCGAGCGCGGTCCGCGGCGGAGTCGTGGATCCCCGTGGGCCTCTGGAGGTGCGGGGCGGTGGAGTTTTTCGTGCTTCCCGGGCGGTGCCCCGCGTTGCTGCCGCCGCGTCCGCCGAAGGCGCCCTTCGCCGCTGCGGGCCTGACCATCGACGAGATTGCGCTTGCGGGCCGTAGGGGGAGGGGGGGGGTAGTAGATGAGCGCCGAGATCAGTTGGATCTCCCTCCCTCTCTCTCTCTGTCTCCCTCTGTCTCTCTCTCATTTTGTTTGTTCTCTCTCTCTCTCTGTCTCTCTCTCTCTCTCTCGTTTTTTTTCTTCTCTCTCTCTCTCTCTCTTTCTTTTATTATCATATATATATATATAGATTCTCTCTCTCTCTCTCTCGCTCTCTCGCTCTCTCTTTCTCCCTCCCAACCCTCTGTCTCTGTCTCTGTGACCTAGGGGGGCCGCGGGCGAAGCCGGGGGCCCCGGTTCCGCGGCCCATCGACTCCTCGGGCGACGCGAGCGGCGCAGGGGAGGGCGGTGCCCGAGTCAAGGGCGGCGGGGCTGAGGCGTCGCAAGCCGGTCTCGGTGCTATCGTCGGTGCTCGAGAGCGACGGGCCGCGGGCGAAGCCAGGGGCCCCGGTTCCGCGGCCATTGCGGCCCAAGCGGGGCCGCGAGACCCATCGACTCCTCGGGCGACGCGAGCGGCGCTGGAGAGGGCGGTGCCCGAGTCAAGGGCGGCGGGGCTGAGGCGTCGCAAGCCGGTCTCGGTGCTATCGTCTGTGCTCGAGAGCGACGTGGAGCTCGCGGAACGCGATCGGGCTCATCGACAGCCAGACAGGCGCGGTCGGGGAGGACTCCGCGCATCCGCCCTTCGGCGGCGAAGGGGCGCTCGAACGGCGCGAACGCGCGCGCGCGGCATGGCGCGCGGCGGCTGCCCTCCATGGGCAAGACGGCGGAGGAGAAAGCGGCCGCGCGCGCCGAGGAGCTCGCCGAGCAGGCGAAGTAAGAGGCCAGTCTCACGATGCAGAAGGAGGCGGCGCGGCTGGTCGACGAGCACCCCATGGGCGGTGCTATTCCAGCCGCCAGAGCCGACGGCGCTCGGCGCCAGGTCGAAGGCGCGCTTCAGCGGAGGATGGGTATGCTGGGGCCGTCGCAGCTGCCGCCGGGGGTCGCTCCGACGGCGGCGAAGAGCCCGCCGGCTGTCCCAAGCTGGGCCCCCTTGCCGAGCCAGCTCTTAACAATCGGGAGTTGCAGGCCGCGCAGATGAAGACACTGCAAGGACAGATGCATTCGTTGTCGGAGCAGTTCCGCTGGGCCGAGGACAAGGCGCAGCAGCTGGGTGCGACCTGGGCCAGCCCTCCGGCGGGCATGAGCGATGGGGGCGCCATGGGGCTCGCTGGCGCGACCCGGGCCGCCCGCCAGCTGAACCAGGCGAAAGGGAGAGGAGATGGGGGCCGAGCAGCGGGGCGCCCCCGAGGCCTGCCGTCTCGAAGTCGCCGAATCCGGATCTCGAGCGGTCTGGGTGTCCTGCTCGATCGGGCTCGGCGTCGCGCGTCGCGCGCGGCGCTGAGTGAGGTCCTTGAGAAGGGGCTGGGTTGATTTCAGGTGGGGCCGCGGGCTTTGCGAAGGGGCGCCGAGGACGCCAGCTCGCAGAGGCAAGGGCGAGGAGAGAGGGGGGGGGGGGGCACGGGCTCAGACGGGCTCGGCAGGTCTGGGGCCCAAGGCGGGGGGGCTCCAGGGGCCGTGGGCTCAGGTGCCAGGGGGGATTCGCGATCGGACTCGACCGCGTCCAATCGCGACGAGGCTGCGGGGCTGGGGCGTCTCAGGCGCCGCTGCGCCGTGGAGGTGGGCCCGTCCTTGGCCTCGGGGGGTTCGTTTTTTTTTTGTTTTTTTTTTTTGTTGTTGTTGTTTTTTTTGTTTTTTTATTGTTTCTCTTTTTTTGTCTGGAAGCGCTGGGCGCTGCTGCTCGGGCCTCGCGGGCGTCGGCGGCCAGATTGACGTGGGCCGCGGACCGCGAGGGGCCCTGGTCTCCGGCGCCTGCCCCCCCCCCCCCCTTCCTAGATTCTTCTTCTTCTTTCCAGCAGTTTGCCCGGCAGAGGGGTTCAACGGCACCGTAACGGGTACTTACAAACGGGTACTTTGTAATTTTGCCGAAAGTTGCCACTTTAGGGCCTCTTTCTGGCAATGCAGCGTTGCCCGCATCGGGAAGGGTTGGGTTCGCTGGGTCACTGGCCAAATTACCCGTTAGTGGAGTCCCCGTTTGTGGGGCGCTGAGGGGTCTTCGCGCGGGGATGCGCTCGCCATTTTATGCCGATTCCTTCCAGCTACACTGGGAGGCCCTCCAGAGGAGCGCGAAGTGTTTCATGTGGCTCGCGAGAAGTGCCGTGCCGAAGTGCGAGCGCGAACAATGCGCCGCGCCAAAATACATGTGAGAGTTCAGAAAATCAGAGAAGCATGGGGAACGTGAGCGACATGTATGAGTATCTCATGGGGAATACATTCGGTTCGTATTTATCCACACTCTGGATACGGGTTTGCATTTTTTCATACTTGTTCCATATTTTTTACTCTTCGGATATGGGTTTGTACTTTTTCATGTTTGGTTCATTCCTTTTCACACTTCGAATATGGGTTTGTACTTGTTTCATATCTGGCAGTATTTTTCACACTTCGGATCCCAGTTCGTAGTACACTCGTACTTTCAGTTTGTATCCAATTCGCACTCGCACTTCCAGCTTGTACGCGTTTCACACTGAGTCGGTGCGGTCGTACTTGTCTCGTTCTTTCTGTTCGAACTGTTTTCGCATTCGTATTTTCGTTACTTGCGAATGTCGCTCTTTTTCCATACTTAGACCATATTTTGCCGAAAACCAGCGATCGACCACTCTAGCTGGCCTGGAATCTCATGAGAGTAATGTCGCAGCTGGCCGCGTCGGAATACCATTCCGTAGTCCCCAAGGCTCAGGCAGGCCCCCGGCCTATGCAGTTTCGTCGGGCTTCGATTCCAGAACTCGCGCGCGGGACATCGCATTGCTTGCCGCTGTGGGCCCGGGCTCCTGCGCGGCGCCCGGAGTGCGCCCCAGCGGTGAACTGCCCTTGCCCGCCGGTGGGGCCGACCCAGGCGCGGGGGGTCTACCGCGATCGGGCCAAAACGTTCGAGCAAGCGGCGGTGGTGCTGGCGGTCTTCCTGTCGGGCGTCGCGGTCGGCGGGCTCTGCCGCCGACCGCGACGCTTCGAGCGCCCTGCCGCGTGCGCAGGAGAGCGCAAGTCAGAGGTGATGAGCCTGTTTTCCACCACCACCACCATAAGTTGGAGGGCGGAGGAGGAGGAGGAGGAGGAGGAGGAGGAGGAGGAGGAGGGAGGAGGAGGAGGAGGAGGAGGAGGAGGAGGAGGAGGTGGAGGAGAAGGACGAGGAGGAGGAGGAGGAGCCCTCCCCTCCAACTTATGGTGGTGGTGGTGGAAAACACGCCCATCAAGAGGGTCGGCGCCCGCGGCGGCAGCGGCAGACGCCCCGCCCCTGGCCAGGCAGAGGACGGCTGCGGCGCGCCGGCGCCAGTCGCTCGCCTTGCAGCGAGGGCGGCGCCGGCCGCTGGAGGCCACCTCCTCGGGCTACCAGCGGCTGGCGCCGCCTCCTCCTCCTCCTCCTCCTCCTCCTCCTCCTCCTCCTCCTCCTCCTCCTCCTCCTCCTCCTCCTCCTCGGGCTACCAGCGGGGGAGTTCTTCGCGATCAGGTGTGGCGTTGGCGGCCCGGAGCTCTGGCATCTGAGGTGCCGCGCAGGAGCGGCGGCAGTTTGCGCGGCGGGGGCGGCCGCCATCGCCCCAGACTTGGGCGAGTACGGGGAGGACCTCGCCATCGGAGCGGATGTGCTGGACTGGCGTGCAGTCGGAGGCCCTGGCGGAACCGTCGGACACGCAGGAGTGGGCGCCTCGCATTACCGCTTTCGGGCGGTCATGACGCCGGCGCAGTCGACTGTTGGTCGAGCGGCTGGCTACATGCGCTTAGGCGCTCCTCCGCTGGCGGAACTGGCCCAACCTCGGCTGGGTGGCCATCCTGCGGTCGGCGCTCCAAGAGGGGGCGCCGCGCTGGGCGGGCTTCCAGCCGCTGCGGGAGGCGCGACAGCAGGTGCGATCGGCGGGCTCCCTGGTGGGGCTTCTGTTCCTGGGGCTGTTCCTGCGGCTGCTGCGGCGGCCCTCGGCCCGGCTCCTGGGGGCCTCTTCCCGGGCCCGCGCCTGCTGCCCAGACGCCGCAGCTTTGGCTCCCGCTGGCGGCGGCGGAGCCGTTGCCGCAGGGGCAGGGCCTGCCCCTGGAGCACGGTTTGCCTGTCTTGCCGCCGCCTTGGGGCCTGCCCCTCTCCGCGGAGGAGCTGCTGTTCCCGCGGCCCCTGCGGCGCTCGCTGGAGGCGGGGCTCCCGCCCTTCCAGCTGCTGCAGCATCTGCACTCTTGCCTGTCGCACCTGTCCCTGTGCCTGCTGTTGCTCCTAGTGCCGGTGCTCGCACGTCCTTGCGCGACGGGGCCGGCGAAATCTTTCAACTTTCGCGTTGCAGTGGCTTCTTTCCTTGGGGATCCCTGGCCAGATTGGCCGGTGCGTGGCCTGGGGCGGCGTGGCAGATGGCGGTCTGATTGTAGGTTGCAGGGTCGGAGATGCCGGGGTCGAGGCCCATGAGGGCGCGTGCAGGCTTTCAGAGACGCTCGCGCGCTATGACCAGCTCAATCTTCCCAATTTAGCGGCCGCTGAAACCGCGGCAAGAGAGCTCCAGGTGGCGGAAGAACGACATCGCGATAAGGAGTGTGGCAGCGGCGGAGACGACAGGTTAGATGCGCACCTGGCCCGTGGAACAGGCCTGTCGAGGGGCAATCTCTGCAGAACTCTCGCAGGACTATTCGGTCATGAAGGAGCGCCGCAAGGCGCGCGATGAGAGGGCGTTGGCGCGCCCGAAGAAAGGCGCCAAGGAGCAGGGGTGATGCCACCCGGGCCAGCGGCATCTCCTGCTGGCCCTGCTGTACGAGCCGAATTAGTCTGCTCAGAGGCAGGTTCGCCGTGCCCGGGGCGGCAAAGAGATATTCCTATCCTGCCGCTGCCCAGCTTTCGCGCGCCCGGCTAGAGCGGCGGCCAGCGCCTGTCTCGCGGCGCATCTTGCAGGCCTGCTCGTAGCTCGCGCGCGCTCGCTTGGGCCGCTGATGGCGTCGGTTGCTTCGGCCAACTGTTGGGGCGCAGCAGTGGCGCATCTTCTGACGTTCGCAACGCTGGTCAGGAGGCGGCGCTTTCGCGCGTCGAGTCGGCTTGCCAGGCGGCGGCGACTGTATGTTTCTTTCGTTTTGCTGGGTCAGGTCTCTACTCCGGTGAGTCCTCCACCCAAGGGCCGCATGTCAAGAGCAAGGTCTCTTGGCCCGCGCGTGGTAACTCGCGCGTTGGCTGGCGCGCTGGCTTCGCTCGGGCCGGCTTCGACTGGCTCGGCAGGTGGCGTGGTCGCGCGTTCAGATCGCCTGCTGCAGCTGCTGTTTTGCGCGGCCAGCTCTGTCCGACTGGGCCCTTCGCGGATCCAGCGCTCAAGAACAAGCCCTTCCCGCTTGCGGCGATCTAGAGTCCGAGCTGAAGGAGAGGGGGGCGGTCATGCTCCATCGCGCCGCGGGCCGCGGCGCCGCTGTAGGCGCATTCTCTCCGTCGCCAAAAAGTCAGGGGACACCCGGCTTATTTTTGACGCCGGAGCGGTTCGCGCGAGTTTCGCCGACCCACCTCGGTCGCGGGCCCCAGCGCCGGGGTCTTTCAGCGGCCCAGAGAATGCGTTTAGATCGAGTGCGCTTTCTTGCATGCCATGCCAGACGGTCTCGAGGAGATGTTACGTCTTCCATCCGTCGCAGCAAGGCATCTGGGAACCGTCGAGGTCGATGGGGTCGCTGTGGGCCCGAACGAGTTCATATCGCCGCGTGCGCGCGCACTTCCCATAGGGTGGTCAGTGGTCGTGGGCATTGCATATCTGCCAAAACGTGCTGCCACATGCTCTCAGCGAGGAAGGTTTCGAGTCGTCTCAGGTCGTCGAGGATGGCGCGCCGGCTGTCTCGTTATCCTCTCTGGCCGATGCAGCCGCAGCCGGCTATGTGGACCACTTCGCGGTGATGGGGTCCAGGCAGGATGTTGCGCAGGCAAGGCTCGGCGGAGTGTGCCGTCGGCTGGTTGTTCTAGGCCTTTCCGTGCACGAGCTCAGCGCGGCTGTCGAGGATATATCCTTTGTCGGGGTGTGCTTCTCGAGGGGGTCGAGGATATGTAGCGGGCCCTCTGACGTGCGCCGCCTCCGATATGGCATCGATAGCCTGTTGAGGCTGGGGGGATGTAGTTGGTCAGCTATACAGATAGTGATGGGGTATGTGACGTGGGCCGCTCTTTTTCGGCGGGAGGTGCTCTCTATTTCAGTGCCGTTTTTTAGTTTATGATTGTTGCTGGGGAGCGCATTCAGAAACTTTGGCCTAGCGTGCGCCAGGAGCTGTGGGCCTTCCGCTCGATCCTCCCTGTATTCCAACATCAGCTTACCCTGGCATAATGTCGTCGCAGCTTCCGACGCTTCGCTCTTTGATATTGGTGTGTGCATTGTTGTGATTCGAGCCGAGCGCGTCGGCGCTGTTGGTCGGTATGCAGAGCGGTGGCGATATCAATTTGCCAGTGCGGAGCGTGCTTGCAAACGTGCCTGGGACCAAAAGAGGGTCTCGAGGGCCCCTCCAGAGCTGGGGGTCTCGGGATCGCCAGCACATTCAGACGTCTTCGGTGTCGATGACGAGCAGACCTCGAAGTCCTTCTCAGAGGTGTCTGGTGCTCTGTTCGAGGGGGTGCCGGATGACGTGCTCGAGGGGCCTGGGGTGAACATCTTGGCCTCGAAGGTCCTCGTGGCCGCCGACATCTTGGAGCTGGAAGTGGGGGCCCTAGGGTTCGCCGCAAAGCACCCCTTCAGGGTCCTGGAGCCTTTCAACTCCTTGGTGGTCATCTTGTTTGACAACCTGCCGCTCGCGTTGGCGGCCTGCAAGGCGCCGCATGTGTCATGTCCTGTTCCGTCTCCTGTTGTGGGTTCGAGGATTGCTGAGTCGGGTCTGATCGCTCCGCCAGTCGCTGACGCGCCGTCAGATTCGCTGTCCCCGGACTCCAGCCTCGTGCGCCATGGCGCCGAAGGCAGCTTCGCGGCGGCAAGCCCGCGGCCGTGCGAGAATCATGTCGAAAACTGGGAAGCTGAAGCGCGTGGCTGCTGCCAGCCGCATCTCGGCGCAGAGGGGGGCCGCGGGGAACCTCGGCAAGCCTGGCGGCGACGCCGAGCGCGGCGTTCACGTGCCTGTCCGCGGCCGCCAAGTTCGCCCATTGTTGCCGCGGGTCGGGTGCTGGCTGGAGCTCGCGCGGAGAATTGGACCTCTTCCTGGTTTCGCTCTTCAGCGCGGATTTCTTGGAGGTCGCTGGCGTGGGGGGCGCCCGCGAGCTATTGTCTTGGCGGCGGCGAGTGCCGCCCCGCATGCGCTTGCCATCGCTCAGCTCGGCGGCGACGGCGATCGCGGGCTGCCTCAGGCACTCGGGGCGCACTATGGGTGGTCGTCGCCTTCATCGGGCACCTCCGGCCGCGCGAAGCCTTCCTCCTGCTGAGTCGGCGCCTGGTGGCGCCGAAGCTCGTGGCCGGCAGACAGCGCGGCTCGCGGGGCCTGCTGCTGCGTGACGCGACGATCGGCGACCCAGGCAAGGCGGGCGCGTTCGATGCCGCGGTCCTGCCCGACACGTGCGAGCGGTCGGTCGAGTTGCTGGGCCTCGCGCCGCTGTTTCCACATTTTTACTCGTTGAGGCGCAGAGGCGCAAGCGATGACCTGGTCGCGGCCGCAAGGGCCCCAGATGAAGTCGAGGTCCTAGGGAGGTGGGCAACGTTCGCGAGCTTCAAGCGCCGCGGCCAGACCGCGCGACTTCTGCTCGAGATGGCCAAAGTACCCGAGGACGTGTCTGCCTACTTCAGCAATGTCATGGCCGAAGGCATCTGCAGCCCGCGGTCGCGCGCGAGGCTGCTTCCCAGGATTGCAGCGGCCCTCGGGCAGCGCCAAGGTGTTCAGTATTGATGATATGGATGTCAGGCGTTATCTGCAGCGTGCCTCTCGGGTCTCCGCAAAGCCGCCTCCCCGTTGTCTCAAACGCCCAGTGTTCTTATAGCTTTTCGGTGGGAGTGGGGGGATCGCTAAGGCTATCGCCGAGCTGGGCCACAGGTCGCTTTCGCATGACATCCCCAACAATCCCCGCGAGGACCGCTTGTCCCACCCTTTCCAAGCGACGGGCTCGCGAGGCTCAGAGTGGGCAGTGGCACCTTCGCGTTCAGCGCGGAACTCATCAGAATCTGCGTGGCCATGAATGTCCCTGCGTCCTTGGAGAACCCGAGAGCCTCCGTGATGCAGTGGGTGCCTCATTTGAAACACCAGATGCGCCTGCCCAGTTGTTGTGATGCTTGCTGCGACTTCTGTCAGTTTCACACGCCGTCGGGCGTCGAGTCGAGTCGGGCGTGGTGCTACGCCCTCTAGTCTGTGTAAACGATGCTCCGGCCAGCATGGGCACCAGCAGAAGCCACAAGCGCCATATTGAGCTCACTGGCACTGCACCAGGAGGGAGAAAGTGGACTTCCGTCGCTACTCCCTACCCTCTTCGCATCGCCGTATTGTGCATTCCGCTGATAGTTTGAAGACCGTTCGAACGCATAGTCTTTTTAAGGACTTGTGCGCGGCCAAGTCTGGCCAGGTTTCCTTGTCGGGATCGGGTACCAGCTGATCTCGGCTGCGCCTCGCCTTTAAGCTCGCGCCCGTCTCGTCAGCCACTTCACTGCACAGCGGCGGCTCCCGTGAGGTTGCCTTCGCGCTCGTTCACGGTAGAATAAGAAGCCCTGGCCTGTGAAGCAATTGCCCGGGCTGGATGCGTTCACAAGTTTAAGCCGAGGGGTGTCGCAGTTGACCGCATCGGAATCCCCATTACGTAAACATCAAGGCTCCTTCCCGCCCAATCCCCGCTTTCGGACAGGGTGCCAGCTGATTTCGGCTGCGCTTCGCCTTTGAGCTCTCTCGCCCGTCTCGTCAGTCGGTTCACTGCACAGCGGCGGCTCTTGTGGGGTTGCCTTTGCGTTTGTTCACGATGCAGGGGGCCCGGGCCTGTTAAGTAAATGTCTGGGTGGATGTATTTGTTGATCCATGTATTTATGTATATGTACATCTATATTGTATGTAATGACATGTATTTGGGTGGCGCTCTTAGAAGCCTGTATGCTGGCGCTGCTCTCTCGCCCGCCTGCCTTTCAGGCGGTGTCGACGTCCCTCCTTCGCCGTCCTGGGTCGCTCCTCTGCCTGCTCTCCCTCCTGTTCGTCCTTCAGGCTGTCGTTTGGGCTTCTCCCTCCCTCGTCTCCCTCGTCGCGGTCCTTCCCTGTCGCTCGCACTCTTCCCTCTCCCGGCTCTGGGTTCGTCCTGGTCTCCACTTGTCGTTCCTTCCTCTGCTCCCTGTGGCCGGTGCTTTCCCGGTGCTCTCCCGGCCATGTGGCGGGCGGGGCGCGCATGGTGCATATTCCAGCATCCCCGGCCAACGACGTCGATCAACGTGTTGAATGGCGCGCGAGCAGATTGGGGCGAACAGCCCGTTGAAGCGTCCGGAGCACGAGGCTCTGGCGCGCCTCGAGAGGTCCGGCAGGCGGCCCTCCAGGCCCTAGACGGCTCGGGGTTTTGTGAGAAATATTAGTAGCGAAAAAAGTAAAAAGTGGCTCGAGAGGCGAAGCGTTGAGGCGCGACGATTCCAGAGGTCTTCTCGCCAGCTGGGCTGACGCAGCCGTTGCGCCCGAGGGGGCATCGTCTTGGACGTGCGCTGTGATTTCTGAGTGCAGAGCGATCCTTCGGAAAAGAACTGTGCGCCCCCGTGCGTGTAGACAGACGGTCCTACATTGTCCATGTATCCGTGACAAGGCGCCAGTGCTGACGCATGCATCGGCGTCAGCATCGTCGCCAGTATCGAAGACAATGTATACTTCAGCATCAAAGTCAGCACCTGCACCAGCACCGAGGCCAGCAGCTACGTCAGCATCGACGCCACTACCGACCCGACCATTTACGCCAGCACCGGCGCCAACAGAAACCCTAACATCAACTCCATCGTCGAAGACTGCATCGACTCCAGCATTGGTCAGAGCGTGAATTACCTACCCCGCTTTCGCTTCTAGGCAAAACCAAGCCATACCACGCGCCTCCTCGTCAAGCGGCCTGACCAGTACAGGCTGCAATTTGGCATCGTTTGGTATCTCCTGGAAGCGAGGGTGGTCAAAAGCGAGGTAGGTTTGTTTTCCCCCTAATTGGGGTCAGCACTTACGTCATCACCAACGCCAGCATCGACTCCAGCATCGACGCCTGCACCCACCGCTCGCACCGACCCCTGCATCGAGGCCAGGCCCCCGCGCCTGGCCGCGAAGTCTGGCACTGGTCTTCTCGCGTGCCTTCCGGGCCCTCCGACGCGCCGCCCGGCTCGCCGCCGTCGGCCCGATCGCGGCGGGCTTCCCCGCGCGGGGGGAAGAAGCAGGAGGAGGGGGAGGGGGAGGAGGAGGAGGAGGAGGAGGAGGAGGAGGAGGAGGAGGAGGAGGAGGAGGAGGAGGAGCAGGAGGAGGGGGAGGAGGAGGAGGAGGAGGAGGAGGAGGAGGAGGAGGAGGAGGAGGAGGAGGAGATGTGCTGCCACCACTCGGGGCTGCCCCCCTCACCACCCACCAAACCACCCCAACCCAACCCGAAGGCTCAGATTTACCCTCGATTTCCAGTGGGGGGGGGTCGGGGAACATCGAAAAAACACATGTGGAACCCTTACCCCCCCCAACCCGAAATTCGGGTCTTCGGGTTGGGTTGGGGTGGTCTGGTAGGTGGTCACCCCCGCCGCAGTCGCCTGCGCCAAGCTTCGCGCCTCCAACGCGTCCCACGACGGGGGGAAGGACTGAGCCGCTCTCTTCGCCTACCGAAATGGCATGGCCTTGGGGAAAACAACAGGTGCGCACCTCGCCTGCCTGGCACCCAATGCAAGCTTCAGCTGACATGGCAAGGGGTGGTGATGATGATGATGATGGTAATGGTAATGGTGATGATACTTATACTGAGACGATGATGGTGATGTTGTTGATGCTGATGATCATGATGATGGTAATCATGCTGTTGTTTGACGATGGTGGTGGTGGTGATGGTAAGGATGATGATGATGATGATGATGATGATGATGATGATGATGATGATGATGATGATGATGCTGATGATGATGATGATGATGCTGATGCTGATGCTGATGCTGATGCTGATGATGATGATGATGATGATGATGGTGGTGGTGGTGGTGGTGATACTGATGGCGGTGATGAAGACGCTGAAGCTGATGATGACTTCGCTGCTGATGATACTGATGATGATGATGATGATGGTGATGATAATGATGATGATGCGTGTGATGCTGGTTTTGGTAATAAAGATGATGACGATGATGATGATGATGATGATAATGATGATGCTGATTCCTGTGATGGTGATTGCTCTGCTGATTCTGGAGGATGATGCAGATAATGATAACGATGACGATGCCACTGACGATGCTGCCGATGGTGACGATGATACTGATGATGTTGATGATGATGCTCAGTTTGATGATGATGCTGCTGATGCTGCTGCTGGTTATGATGATGATGGTGATTCTGATGATTACGATGATGGTGGTGATATGGTTTCGGTGGTGTGGATGATGATGACTATGATGATGAGGAGGATGAGGATGAGGATGAGGATGAGGATGAGGATGATGATGCTGCTGGTGATGATGCTTCTGATAATTCTGGTGATGATGATGATGATGATGATGATGATGATGATGATGATGATGGTGATGGTGATGGTGATGGTGATGGTGATGGTAATGGTGATGGTGATGGGGATGGTGATGGTGGTGATGATGGCGATGCTGATGATCAGGAGGAGGAGGAGGAGGAGGAGGAGGAGGTGGAGGAGGAGGAGGAGGAGGACGAGGTGGTTGAGGAGGGGGAGGAATAGGAGGAGTAGCAGGAAAAGGAGAAGGAGGAGGAGGAGGAAGAAGAAGAAGAAGAGGAGGCGGAAAAGGGCGTGTGGCCGCGACGTGGGGCGTATCGCGCAGGTACACGACGTGCGACAGCTGCAGGCCGAGCTTGACAAGCTGCGCAGGGAGCAGGCGCTCCGCGCTGGCGGCGGCAGCGGCGGCGACAGCGTCTGGAGGAAATTGGGCCGGGGCGCTTGGCGAGACATCGAGGGGCTTCCCTGACGCCGCGAACGCC